TTAGATTTAGAGTTCGGTTCGTTACTCGTGCTCTTCTACTTTTTTTTTCCCTCTCCTCTATCAGAATTCCTTTCTCTATTTCCTGATCGTCTATGTGGCTTGTTGTCTTTTCTTTTTTTTTTCTTTCTCTTTTCTTTTGACTCGCTTGCATTTAATAGCATCACGCAAATGCTGTTTGTTTGCTGAAAAACTCGATTCTTTCTTTTTTTTTTTTTTCTTGTCGTTAATACTTCATCACTATAAATATAGTTATGAATTTTTGTTAGTTCATGTATTTGATTCGTTGGTTAAAATATCTATATCATTTTTTTTTTGAAAAATAATCAAGTACAATTAAAACAAATGTACTCATAATAAATGGGTGTGTCATTTTTTTTCTCATTTATTATGTTCTTAATCATTAGTATAACAACTGACAAAAAAAAAAAAATGTCAAATATAATTCTTTCTTTCTCGTTGGATGACAGATAAAATTATATTTCCATTTCAACTTGTTCGACAAAAAAAGATCTGCTAGTATTACGATTGTATTTTCTATGCCAGAAAACGAGATATATATATAAGTTAATTTGTTTCTTCTATCATGACATTTCGTTCAACGTATTATGATAGGTATATTATCTTTATTATCTCTTTTTTTTTATTATAAATTTTCAATTTCTAGATGAATATAAGCCATTATTATTTATATGACTATGACATATAACAAAAACAAACAAAAATTTCATGAAAATGTTAATTGTTGTCGAATTATTATTTTTATTTATTTTCATAACTGATCATCCTTCTTATTTTATTCAAGCTGATTCAACATCATGTCGTAGACAAGTTGAATGTTTTATATGTGATTCACGTGAAATTGAAGCATGTGAAGATGCAAGAAATTTTTCTCAAGCACAAATTCCAATACGTTTATGCGATGATTATTGTTTAAAAGTGTGGACACGTGAAAATGATAGTTTAATAGGTGATGATAAAATACATGCATTACGTTATGTACGACGTGATTGTCATAAAATATTTCGTTATCATATAAAAAAAGCTGAAACATGTTATCAACATAAAAAACATCATACAGATTCATTATGTTTATGTAGTTCGGATAGATGTAATTCATCGATTAATGTTCGACTAAAACGAACTTATTATTGGATTTTTTTCATGTTTTTTTATTTTCTATTGTATTGATGTTTTTTCTTTGGTTATCAATTAATAGTTCGTTCAAAAATATGTTGTACAAAAAAGAAAAAACAGAAGAATAGCACAATTCTAAAACAAATATGATCTAATCAACTAATGAAAGACGTGCTTGAAGCACCGGGATAAAAAACAACACACACACACACACACACACACACAATGACTGTTAATTTGTGATAGTCCACTGAATAACTTGATTTGCTTGAGCTAGCATATCTAAATCGAGTCCATAAATAAGCAAAATCTATTTGAAGCAAAAAAGAAAATTAGAAAATTATTTTTCAATATAAAATTAAATACATACTTGATCGGGAATATTATAAAGAAAATTTGTAAAAGATTTTCCATTAATAGTAACACCGGTAACTGATTTATTTACTCCAAGAACTTTGATAATATCCAAACGCATTGGTGAATCTTTATAATTTCTTACCAAAGCATCTATTGTCAATGTATTCTAGAGAATAAGGAAAAAACAAAAAATCTTTGGTTCATTTCAGAATAGAATAAATTAAAAGTCTTGTTGTTGTTTTTTTCGATACTATTTAAACTTATCATTTGTCTTCTGTTAAAATACGATTTCAATTTGTACAAACGAACTTTTAATCAATCAAATATTTCTACAGACAAAATCTATTAGTGAATTGTGAGTGGAAAACTGAAATGTATCATCTAATAATAAACATATTTATTAGATTATATCCATATAATGACATTTTTCAACTCTTTGAGATTTCAATCTTTATATCGATTGATGAATTATACAGATAAGATTCATATTACGTGAGCTTTTATAGATATATCATTTTCTTGTTAAAGTATATCTCATCAAAAAATAATTTTCTAACATTATATATAATAATTCGCTTCAATGATTCCTTTCCTTCCTATTTAAAAAGCTTGAATAGAACAAATTTTATCATATACTTGAATTCCCAAAGATATTTAGAGTGTTAGTACTAGAACACATCATAAACTTAATTTTTCCCTCGTGATAAGGAGAATGTAATCTAAAAATATACATTCTTAGGTTCATAAACAAAAAAAAAAAAAGAACCTCGAACTACCTAATTCTCGAATCAACAGAAAGGAAGTTTCTTATTTCCGGGAAAAAAAAAGAACGAAGTATATTATCAATAAAAAAAAAACGCATATGAATAATTAATCACTCACAGCATTATTTAATGAAAATTCAAGATAATTATATGATTTTGTTTCAATTGAATCTAAAATTTCAATAAACATATATAAAAAAAAAGAAAACAAAAGAAAATAAACAAACCCATAGAATCTCCATCATCCCAAAAAAGATTTCCACTTGCATTACTCCATTGAGATTGAGCAACAAGTAATATAAATGGATTATCACGTCCAATCATTAGATTAGCTCCGGGTATTTGCATTGGAATAATAAAACCACCACGTACATGAGCATTTATTTTTGATAATGGTGCATCTAAATCGGTAAATACTCCTACGGATTGAACTTTGACGCCGGACGGAAAATCATACCAAACATCTGATGGTATATATACATGAACAGTATTAGTTTCCTAAATGTTAAAAATTTTAATTTGTCTTTTCTTTTTTTTTGAATTAATTTATATTACTGATTTTAAATTTGGAGAAACAAGAATAGCACGACCAATTAAAAATTGTTGATCAATATTATAAGTATTTTCATCATTTGAAAATCTGCAAAATGAATGATGTTTATTTTTATTTTTATGAATAATATTCATACTCAAAGAAAAGTGGTTGTACGATAGTTCTTGATGCCATTGCTGCTTCATGATGAAGAGTATACCAAAATGGAATTAATGAATATCGCATTAATACTGCTTGTTTCATAATTTGTTGTGCTTCCCATGAAAATGATGCTGGATCTTGATCCTTTTTTTTTTTTGTTTCGAATAATATTCAATTGATTAGAAAGAAAAAACAACAACAACATTTACTTTTTGTCCTAGATCATTATGATTTCTCATAAATGGATAAAAAGCACCAAGTTGCATCCATCGTGTACATAATTCTTCAGTTGTTTCAAGTCCAAATCCACAAATGTCAGCACCAACATGTGTAATACCAAACATATTAAAACTTAGTATAGCTATATAAAAAAATAATATTTGATATTATGAATAATTGTTAATCAATTGATTCGTTAGATTTTTGTTAATGTTTGATTATAATGATGTATCGATTTGATATTTAATATGTATTGTTTAAAAAAAGAAATGAACATACCTGGAATAGAATAATACATATCATCAAATGTAGCACGATTATCTCCAGTCCAATGAGCAGTAAATTGACCAGAACCAGCAAATGTTGAACGAGATAAAATAAATGATCGTTTCTTTCGAATTGTTTTCATTGCTCTATAAAAATTAATTAGTATTATTTATTTATTTTTGTTTTCTTAATTAATATAATTATCATACGTATTCGATGCTATTGCTTCAAAATAACCAAACATACTATGTAAATTGTAATGAGATGAAAGATATTGTTGAGCAGATGGACATATTGTCTTAGAACTAAGACTACCACCAAGCACATCTATTTAAACAAAAAAAATGTCAGATACTTATACGACTGAATTACAACTTTTTGATACAATTCACATGAAAGAAATGAAAATAGGCCTAAATGATTTTTGAGTAGTATACTATATTGTATGCTATGTCTGGGTTATACAGCAAAATTTTCCTAATACTTCATTGAATATATGTTGTACAATTCAATTTTACTTCAAAGTTCACTTGACTCGTTGGAAAGATTCGAGTGATGAGTAATCAGGAACATTCATGATAGACACAGATTTATTGAACAAATTCTACTGATAAGAGAATCTTCGTACATTTTATTGTATAATGTGTATATTTTTTGAAATGTCAGAATTGAAATTTTTATCATTATTATAATATTTCGTGAATTATAGATCAAACAAATGTTTTTTTGGATACATCTATCATTTGTGTCTTTAATATAGAAATAAGAATAAAAAAATAAACACTTTTTAACTTCAAATGTTTTCTATTAAAGTCTTGCTTAGCCTACAAAATCGCTAGTTTTATATTATTGTACATAAAAACAAAAGTGTGTCTATCATGAACTATCAAAAGCAAAAGTATATAAATGGAAAATTGTAAAGATCAATGCATTAAAGAGCTGCGGATTCACGTTTTTGGGGATCCGGATCCAAGGTCTTTTCCATTAATACTTGGCATCCTTCACGTACATGAACAAGTGAAAGATCAAGGTTTTCAGCTATTTATCCGCTACTCTCAGAAAAAAAATTCTTTGTATTTCTCATTTGGAGGGTAGCGAGCCCAACAAAAAATTGGACTCAGCCAGATTTGGAAGGACCTGCAGCTCCCTACAATGCATTACAAATTTTGATAAAATGATAGCCAAACTGAAAAATGACTTATTTACAGACCTATATATGTCTCATTCAAAAAATGCAATGTTTTCTAACTGTAAATCGAGTTATTTAGAAATGAGGTAATTTGATATAGCTGGAGGAAACTATACAATAAATAGAATTAAAACGTCAACTTTAAGAGAACTTTTGCTTTTTAGGCAAAAAAAAATCATAATTTTTCGGTTTTTCATCGCTAACACAACTTCGAAGTGTTCTCTATCAAATATATACTGCTAGTTTTCGATTAGTTTAGTTAGAGAAAAAAGTCCAAATAAATTTTCTCTCTACACAGTACGTCCGATTGGACTCAAAACTTTTTTATAAATATTTTTGTCAAATCGAGATTCGCTTTTTTTTTTTGTTTTTCTTCCAAATATTATTTCTTTAAGACATCAATTTATCAAACAATTACAAGTCACTTATATGTATAGCACATACCAGGAACAAATGGTGGATTATCTAATTTATTATCTGTACATCCATCACTTGATCCATCAAGAAAATTCGATGGTTCATTCATATCCTAAAACACAAAAAATTATAAAATATAAATAAACAAGAAAAAAAAAACCAAACATATTTACAATCCACATTCCATCAAATGGAACAATATCATGAAAAGTTGAAACTATATTAGTCCACCATTCAGTAGCATTTGGATTTGTAAAATCAGGAAAAACTGTTGTACCAGGCCAAACCTTTAATAATAATATTTTAATACAAAAAAAAAAAAAAATTTTTAATTTATTTTCTTCTTACTTTTCCATTAATTAATTCAGTTGAATTAAATTTTGTTATAAAAATATTTTTTTTCAATCCATCATCATATGGTAAATATGATCCTGATGGTTGAATTGAACTAATACCTGGATCAATAATATTTACATAATGTTTTCCATCTGATTGTAATTCACGTACAAGATTTGGAAGATCATGAAAATTTTTTTCATCATATGTAAAATCAAGATAAGATGACATAGCATCAATATCTGTCCATTGTACATCATATGGAAAATCAGCATTATGCATTCTCTATGTTATATTAGAAATAAAATAAGGAAGAGACTTCCCAAAAAATAAATTTTACTTCAATAGTTGCTAATAAATTTTCAATAGTATTATATCCATAACGACAAAGATGAAATCCTAATGACCAAAAAGGTGGCATAATTGGTTTCTATACAAAAACAAAAAAAAAGAAAATTACAAAAAAATCTTCGACTTTTTTTTGTATATTCTATTACTCCAATAATATCCCAATATTGTTCAATAACATTTTGTACTGTTGGTCCTGTAAAAATATATAAATCAATAATACCACCAATAGTTGTATAAGTTATTGCAGGTAATGGTTGAAGATCAATATCCATTGCATTTGAATTAAGTAAAAATTGTCCATGAAAATTTGTTTGTCCATTTTTATTTAATTCAAGATTAATATGAAATGGATGAACACCTAAATAAATTAAAAAGAAATAATAAATTATTTATTTTAATTTTATAATATTAACCATAAAGATTTGTATTTTGTACTGGTGGAAAATCACGTGACCAAAATGTTAATTTTTTCCATTGTTCTGTTATATTAATTAATAAATCTTGTCGATGTTCTCCAAGACCATATATTAATGGACTTGATAAACGTGTAGAAAATTTAATAAATTGATCAGCAAATATAAGTGGTGATACACTGGAATCAAATCTAAAAGAAAAAAAGATGTTTCAGAGAGAGAGAGAGAGGGAGATACTGTGGATTTGAAGCTTTCAAGTTTTTTTTTTTGAAGACATCAACAGGCAATGAAAAACATATTTTTAGGAAGAGATTTGCACAGAGAGTTCACCAAGAAGAAAAAGCTGTTAGTGCAATTCTCGTGAGGTTAAAAGATGAAACATGAATGTTACTAATCACAAGAAGATTGTTTTATTTTGGAACATATTTCTTCAGTATCCTTTTACTTGATCGTTCAGAAATGCAATAGAGAAGTAGTTCGTATATTACAACAAGACGTTATTAATATACGATCCAATGCCTGTCACATGGAAAGAAGAGGGCTATTACTAAGGTTGTCTATGATCTGTGATGGCATCGGAATAGTGAGTCTGTGAAAATGGAATGTAAATTTTCATCCCTATACTTCTAGACTTCTTTTAAATCGTGTTTCACAAAAGTAACCTTCAATTTGTAAAACTACCCAACATGTACCTCCTGTTTAGATATCCGAAGTTTTCAAGTGAAAATATTCTTTATGTTTTTTTCCTGACGAAGGAAAGTCCACAACTGATCTACATCATTGAAAATAGCGTGGAATAATTGAGGAACTTGTCTCCTGAGTGTATAATTGCTTCACTTTTATAAACCAAGATAGTTTGATAACTATACAATGATAATTAACAAGAAAAAATACGATTTATTACAGGCTATGCAAACAAAAGGATTATTAATTCCGAGAAAAAAAAACAACCCATCTGTCGACTGAAAGAGCGAAAATATACTATTTCTTCATGGGTTACAGTTAGTGACATAACCCCCGACGGAGAGGAGGATTAGATCTTCGTATCAATTGAAGCGGTGCTAACTAAACTGTATCATAAAATTCTCCATCAAACAGAGTCCGATCGTGTTAAGTCTTCTGACTGTCAAAATCCTGATTGCACTACTTATTACATTCTGTAGTATTTATATCCATTTCAAGTTACAAGAAGGATGAGTATTTTTGATAGGAAATACATAGAGATCTGCGATTTTCATCGTTTAAAAGAGGAAATAAAACTGCATTGAATATTCAATACCAGATTTTTTCTGACAAGTTTTTAAAATAGAAAACGCTGTATAATGTAAAAGTTTTGGAATTTTAATTTTCAATAATCCATCAAAATTGTTAACTAAAGTTCAATATAATCTATGTAACTCTGATATTAAAATATTTAGTCAAACATGAGTTATTAATATTTTACAATGTGTTTTCAGCAGATTTTTCACGAAAAATTGACCTTTTTTTTTTTGATTTTTTTTTGACGAAAAATCCCCCTTCTAAAAAGTTCTATCAAAAATACTCATCCTTTTTTAAATTTGAAATAGATATTAGTTTTTATTATGATGACTCCGAGAACTAAAAAATGATGGAGAAAGTCCTCCAACTAACTCGAGACTATTCCACGATGCAAAATTATCCGTAAAAATGTCTGAGGCTATTGCGCAGCGAGAATGAATCATAGAAATCGAATTAATATGTCTTCTGATAGAGTGAAATGAGCTCTTTCGAATGATGTATGACTTGTTCATTCAAAAGGAAAAATAAAGCTGCCACAGGAAAAATATATAGGACTTCTAAAATGAGTTGTTACTTTATGTACCAAAAGTTTTGCGACATCTTTTCGCGTATATCTCAGCTTGAGAAAATGATACAACCTTGATCTTTTTCTTAAAAGATGTGCCATGAAAAGCTCTACAAAAACTGTATACAGAAATCCCTATTAACTAGTTCTCATAGTATTTTCCATACTCAACATGAACAACCTACACGATAATGCAATGTTCCAATATGTTGAGCATGATAAAAACGTTTGGAAGCCTTGTTTTGTTTTGTGTATATCTCGGCTTGAGAAAGTGATAGCATCTTGATTTTCTTTTTAAAAGATGCGCTATCGAAAACTTTACATAAGCTGTATGAACAAGCCTCTATTGCAAAACAAAAAAGGTCTTCCAAACATTTTTATCATACTCCACACGCTGGAACATTGCACTATCATGTAGATTGTTCATATTGAGTATGGAAAACACCATGAGAACCAGTTAATAGGAATTTCTGTATATAGTTTTTGTAGAGCTTTTCACGACGCATATTTTAAGAAAAAAATGTCGCAAAACGTTTGGTACACCCGATAACAATTCATTTTAGAAGTCCTCTATGTTTTTCCTGTTGTCAGTCTCTATCAGAAGACATGTTAATTCAATTTCTATGATTTACTCTCGCTGCACAATAACCTCAGACATTTGTATGGATACTTTTGCATCGCGGATTATGTGCATTATGTAGATTCAAATGAATTATGAATACCTTGAAAAGAGTTCTTGCTGCTGAGATAGTGCACTTGTACGGTATATTTTAAATGAATATCATGATAACAGAAAAACTGATTGTCGAATTTAGATTTTCTTTTAATAAAAGAAAAAAAAAACTTACAATATGACACCTGTTGATTTTCTTGTAATCAATATTGAAAATGGTTGTTCATTAATTTTAACATCATAATCTGTTATATTAACTTTTTTTTGAATAATAGGAACTTGAAATGGTACTTCATATCGTTGATAAATTGAATCATATATTCGAATACGAAATCGTTGTTCAGTTTCATATATAAGATCAACAGTTAAATTAGTAATATCATTTGGCATATATGTTGTTTCAGATTTATTAATTTGTATTCGTTGACCAAAATCTGTTTGTTGAATTGTTTGTACGAAATATGTTGGAAAATCTTTTGGATAATAACAATAAGGTATATTAACATCATTCAAATATTTTATAGTTGAATTCATTTGTTTTAATGGTGTTCGCCAACAACAATGTCTTTCAAGACATTTATCTTGTGTTGAACCACTTTCTGGATAACAATCAAAACGTGCTACATCTGAACTTTGTTCACATTGTTGACAATATGAATAAGATATTAAACAAAATATTAAAATTAATGATAAATATGCCATTCAAATTGAATATTACACTTATCTACAATAAGAATTCGATATTTATTCTTCGTTTTTTTTTTTAATATTGAATACAACAGAAAAATAAAATAACAACAAAACTATTTAAATACATGAGAGAGAAACAAAGAAAAGATATTGAATAGTTCTCAAAAAAGAAAAATATAAGTTTATAATGCACGAATTTTTGTTTTATCAAAATGTGCTTGTAATTCAGGAAAAATTTGTAAGAGAATTTCATCGAGAAGCATATAAAATAACTAAAAAAAAATATATATACATATAGAAATGTAAATATAAACTAATTTACTTGTTTATTAAGTAATGGATCTTGAAAATATCGAAAAATTATTTCTAAACCATTTTGAATATTTGTTTTACCAAGTACAAATTTGATTACTTCTAAAAATTCAATAGAATACGAATTATAGTATAACTGGATACTATTGAAACTATTCAAAAATATTTATCACAGAGAAGTTCAATTACAGCAAAAATCACTTTTGTCAAATCTCGCGAAATGTCTACTATGGAAGAACAAGATTAATATTCGAGTGAAAATTTTAAAATGTATTCAGAAAAAAATGATGTTTTTTTGTATTTTGTCTTGAAACTACCCTATGATGCGAAAGTCTTGACATGGTTCTTTCTGAATATGTATTCAGAATTACGTTATAGGTTATTTCCATAGATGAGAGTGTCATATATAATAGTCTGTATTAAGATTTGTAGAGTTTGTAATTAGATTTCATATCTCCGAAATACGAATTTGTTATAATATTCTTATATTAGTCAGTATACGTCGAAAAGTGCCTATACACTCAGTTCGCAGATATGAAGTCTGCAATTCTTTATACGTACGAGATCTTCAAGACAAAGTCTGTGGTCCTATGAAGGCTTCTACTATGTTGACTTATTTAGCTTCAGTCATTCTATTCGAGTTTTCACTAAAACATCATATATTACTGATAGGCAAAAACAAAAAATTTTAGGAAGATTACTTCATTATTAATACCTAGAAAGACCAGTTAGATGCATGATTTCAATCTACTCAATAATACTGAACTTAACATTATTGAACTCTACTTTCACAAAGAAAGCAAACTAGAACTGAGAGTAGAGAATATTAGGTCCAAGAATTTTGGGACTCGGGCCTGATCGATCAAAATTGTTAGATCCGGATCTAATTAATTGATCTTCTGTGAGTAAAGCCCATCGGATTCAAGAATTTCTAGACTCGATGGGCTCTAACTGAGAGTTACATACTTTTTTCGTATTAGATCGAAAACTTTAGAGACTGACTGCATTTTTTTATAAGATTCATTCAAAAATACGCTCGCTCTCATAACATTTCTAGAAAATCATAACTATGCATTATATTCATTCTCTAGTCTTATAAAACAAAACTATTTAAAACTTACTTGGTAAAAATTCTTCAGCTGCTGCAACAACATCATCACAATTTACTAAATCTGTTGGACTGAAATATAATTATAATAGAACTATCCTTTGAAATTTGTATTTCTTTTTTTTCTTTGTTACCTTTTATCTTCTACATCATTTGGAAAAACTACATCTATAGATTCAAAAAAAGTTCAATAGAAAATAAAAAAATTTATTATTTAAATTATACCTCGAAGAGCATGAATTACATCAATAATATTCTCTTCATCATTTATAATTTCATCAACATTATCATCAATAAATTGTGAAAAAAATGTATTAAAAGAATTTTTTAATGGTATACGAAGTAAATCTAATAGATAAATTAATAAAGGTGATGCAGAAAAGATTTCTTTAGCTATAAATAAAAATTAAAAAAAAATAGATTAACTTATGTAAAACAAAAATATCAAATTTATATAATATTCATACCAACAACAATTAAATGATCATAGACACTATCAAGTTCATGAGTAGTTGATTTGTCTTCTGTTATAAATTCTTCTATAGGATTTGTTACATTTGCATTATTTCCATAGATTGAATTTGCAAGCTAGAAAATGTAGATTTTTATTTTAATCAGTTGAATTATGATTTATTTCTATTACTTTTGCTTCGATAATATCATTAAAAATTGGACTTGGTTGTGTTACTTTTGGTTTTGCTGGTTCAGCATAATTGATTAATGATACAAGAAATGGATCAAGATATTGACCTTTCTATATAGAAATAAAATTTATATTTATTTAATCATAATTAAATTATCTATTGAACCTCAGTACGTAATCGACGTGGTACAACTCGAAACATTTTTGCTGAAAAAACAAAAAAAATTCAAATACAAAGAACTTATTGAATTTTACCTAAAACATCTTCACCATTTGGTAAAGTAAAATCATCAGGTTGTGTAAGAAAATTATATAATAATTCACTATTACGTAATGTTGGTTTAGTTAATAAATGCTAAAAAAAACAAATAATTCAAATACAAAAAATATCAATTATTTTGTTTTTTGCCATAGTTAAATAGAACTCATCAAATTTCCTATGAAAGTATTTTTCTTTTAAAGGAAAAATTAGATTAAGATCAGATTCTGAATAACAAAAAAAAAACAACCTTACATATAACTTACTCTTAAAAAATTATCAAAATCTTTTTTAATTGATTCAAGAAATTCTCGATTTCGAACAAATGTTGTCGATCGTTTTGGTGGTAAACGTGCATCAGAAAAAACTCCATGAAATTGAATTAATTTTTGTTCTAATAAATAAAAATCTTGATAACGTCTAAATCAAACAAAATAATTATAATAATAATAAACTATTTTAAATCATTTTTACCTTGCTATAATCCAATGAGCTTTTTCATCATCATTAATTAATAGATTTTCTAAAAAAAAATATAAAAGATTATTATTCTTTGTTTTGTCTTTCTAAACAAAAAACAAAAGAAATATTTACCATTATTACCATCTAATCGTCGTATTTCAATTATAAATACAAAATATTTTATATGAGAATGTATATTATCTTGTAATTCTTTAATACCACTAATACGAATACGCCATGTATTTAAATCTCTTTCATCAATAGACTAAAATGAAAATAATTGGAAATAAAAATGAGAAGAAAAAACAAACAAATAGTTGAATAATAACATACACTATTACTACCAATACTTGTTGTATCTTCTGGATATTTTCTATTTACTTCATCTTTTTCTTCCAATTCTATAAATAATCATAATTGTATAAATATATTATAGTAAATCGAATGTTTACTTTTTATTCATTTCTATTTATTTGAAATTAATGATGATGTGTTTTAGATAAAGTACACTCAGAATTCTACTATTCGATTTGAACCTATGTGATTCAATAGCTGTCGATCGATAATGAAATTTTGTTGAAGTTGGAAAGTAAAGATTGCGGTAGAATAAATAAACCTCTCATGAAGGAACTACCTCAAGTGACGCTAGCTGTTTAAGCTCATCTTGAGCTCACAGGCAGGTCTCAGTGAGAGTAGCAAAAAGAGTTCGTCCTTTTGAACTTTTGTGATCGATTTATTGGATCTTCGATTCATTTGTAGGTAGTTGCCAAAAAGTCAAATGACAGTCGGCTAAAACTTTCAGAATATTCTAAAAGTCATTTTAGGCTAAATTTTAGATCAAAACTCCATTATTGAGTCTTTCGAAGAGTACCTAAAAATGGGTTAGTAATCCGATCATAACTCGACGATAAAGGCTCACAGTGACGAACCCTTTTAAACTTTTGCTATTCTCACAGAGATCTACCTGTAAAGTGGTCTGCAAAAGTTTAAGATACTTTAAATTTTTGAAGTTTTTCATCGAAGATGAGTAGCTAGGTCAAATCCAAATACTGATTTGGATAGATCTTAAAATTCCCTATCGAATACAATATGTATTAAATTTTCAAAAGAAACTTTCTTAAGAGAGTTTTCCGGGAAACCGTGCGAAGAGTATTTTGACAGAAAGATTTTTCAATATAAGCATTTGAATGAATAGAAAATTTTGAACAAAATGAAGAGTTCCCCAGCTCTGTACGATATTCTCTCACAAAGTTATAAGCATTAGAAAAAATGCGATTTTAATCCAATTTTACGGCTTTTTTTTTGATAACAATCGACGAAAAACGCGTTTCTTTCATTTTTTCTAATGCTTATAACTTTGTGATGGAGTGTCGTACAGAGCTGGGCGATCCTTCATTTTGCTTAGAATTTTCTGCTCTTTCAAATGCTTATATTGAAAAATATTTCTGTTAAAATTTTCCTCGCACGATTTTCTAGAAAACTCTCTTCACAAAGTTTCTTTTGAAATTTTGACACATATTGTATTCGATAGAGAATTTTAAGAGTTATCCAAAACACTACTTGTATTTGACCTAGCTACTCATCTCCAATGAAAAACTTCAAAAATTCAAAGTGTCTTAAACTTTTGCGGTACACTTTAGGTCTATTTAGAAGTAAATTTTCTCCCAAAAATGCAGCATGAAATCCTTTGCAAAATCATAGGAGAGCATAGATTACAAAGGTAGAAGCAAACAATTTATTAGATAATCTCAGTAATTGTATACTGGTAACAAATTTTCTATTTCTTTCGGCTAATGAACATATGATAAAATGTTTTAAAACATTATTTCAGGTATAATGAACTACATTCAAAATAATAAGATCACTTTAATAACTATTGTATAGAAGTTTAGTCTCTGGATTAGCCAGATTTTCTTTTTCTTATTGCTTTAAATTGACCAACAGGAAAAATATATTTAAACATAACTATCATATATTGAATCGTCTATATTTTCAATTATGTGTCAGAATTTTGTGATCTTTAAAATAATATTATTAAAAACTATCGTGTTCGTCTTTTTTAGAAATCTAGCTTTGGAATGCATTAGACAGAAAATTTCATTGGCTATTAAAATAACTATTCGGATTTGATCTACGTGCTTAAACATTATAGAAAAAAAAAATCAAAAACATATTTATTATTAAACTTTTTTCTCAACACTTTACATGATGGTACTACAAACATCATAAAAATACTCACAAAAACTAACGAATATTAATTGTTTGATCCTGAAAAAATGAAGTATTTTAAGCTAGTCTACTTCATTTTAAACGATCACGAGGAATGAATATGACCTAAGAATTTTTCGTACGGATTTCTATCATAAGAAGAAAAAAAAGTCTCTTCAAATTGCTCTATATATCTTATCTTATAGAACTCGATGAATCGTATTTACAGTAAGAATAACTAAAGATTCCTTATCCGTAACCTTGTGAAAATATGGGTTGTATATAACTTGCCTCAGATTCAACCTAACTACATATCGTGAAATCGTGCAAAGTATATCTTTGCAATGATACGATAAGAAGCTGTTTGTTTTTTTACTGTAAATATGACTTATAGAGCTCTAAAAGATAAGATATGTTGTCGGTCATTTAAATATGTTTTTATTTTTTGTATGATAGAAAAATAGCCTAGGTCATATTAATTCTCAACAATCATTTAGAACCAAGTTAAATAGTTTTAATACTACTTTCTTACGTCAGTCATTATGTAGGATCTGTTAAGACTAGAAAAAAAAGTAGAAGGGTTCTTTCCCCATGCGCTGCCGTTTTGATCGTTACATTAATTTATTTACTTTTGGCACAGCTACAAAGGAATTTTGTCTATAGATAGCTCTTGAAATCATGAGAGTCTCCTAAAGAGAACTATCTATTTGGCTGAAATTTCTATTAGATTCTAATGACTTCAAGGACTATCTATGCACAAAGCTTTAGGCCAAAATTCGTTTGTGGCCGTGCCCAAGATAAACAGACCAATGTAATGGCCATAACCCTGCAAGGGCACCACATGGAGAAGAATCCTTCTAGTTTCAACAGGCTTTACGTAATGACTAGGATCTCATCTCGAGCGCGAGGTATTATCTCGACTGGTTTCCTGCTTTCAACTTCTTACCATTCTTTGACCTAGATAAGAGCACTGAATCAATGATTATCTCAAAAAAAAAAAAATTCTCCTTATAAACTTTGTTACACTTCTCATCCTGTTAGATAAATCGCATCACAAAACTTAACACTCCAAAACGAATTATTCAAAGCGGTACATCTCTTAATGCAAAATAAACAGAAAGATGTTTCATATTTAGAAAAGTTTAAGATAAAAGAGAAAGAAATTTTTTTCCATCATTCTCTTCTAATATTTAGAATTCCGATTCAGATTAATAAGAAGCAATTCGTACTATCACTCATACCTTTGTATGATGTTGTTGTATAATGTCTTGATACATTACGTTTCTGTGTATTTCCATTAGCATTTCTAAATAATATTTAAAAAAAAAAGACAAATTAATGACTTTGAATATCATATAACATTAAAAACAAAAAAATAAAACTGGGTATAAATACGGAAATACAAATATGGATATATAATCAAACCTGATTTCGTCAATATGAATGAAATCTAATGTAATATCATCCAAACTAAGATGATTATTAGAATGTTAGTATTTTAAAAAAAAACAAAAAAGAAATCTTGAATAGAATGAAAAAATAACTAACTTTTTTTCAATAATTTTATAATCTGGTGAATCCATTCTTCTTCCACACATATAAAGAAAATGTTCATCACTTGTTAAAAAACATCGTTGATATTTTTCTTCAACTAATTCATAAATTTTACAATGAAATCGAGATAATAATGAAAATGTATGTTGCATATCAAATATTTGATTTAAATTATCTGACTTATTTTCAATATTTTCATCATTAACACTTTCTTCTAAATGATTATATATTAAATCTTTTATATCATTTATTAATGTATCATTTAAATCATATGGATTATTAATGCTTACATAACCATCAGAATTTTTTCTATTAAGATAACGTTCCTCAATATTTTTTAAACGTCGATGAATTTTTTTTCGTACTAATATATTTGATGCTGATGGAATATCATTTAATATATCAGATAATGTTATATAAATACTTAATAAACCAACTGAACCATGACGGTCAAGTACACGACTAAATTGACTTAATAATTCTTTTTCGTACATAACATCAGTTAATTGTAAAGATAATTTATTTTTATGTATAGGTCCATTCATTGTACAAAAATGTGTTAATAATTCAACTGATGAATCTGTTGGATTTACAATTATATTCGAAGGTGAATTTCGACGTTGAATAGCCGTTATAAAATAAAGATGAAATAAACGATTCACTGTATTAGGTTCACATATAGCATCAATACCATCGATAAGAATTTGACAAGCAATTAATTCACTTAAAAAATGACGAGATCCTTTACATTCATATACAAATTTTGGTGTTATTATTGGCATTAAATCAAGTATAAGACGTTTTAAATATTTTATTTCCGATTGACGATTATACATTGCTATATGAAGATCATTTTTAAACATTTTTTTGAGAAAATCATTTGAAAATTGAGATTCATTAAGAGATTCAATTTTAATCATTTGAATATAACGATCTAATGTTTGAAAAATTAATGGAAGTAGACGTTCAAGAACGAATACATTGATATTAACCTTTTAAAAAGAAAAAATTTATTTATTTATTTTTCAATAGAATAAAAAATTAAACAATGAATTCGAGTCCTGATACAAATTTTATGTTCTTAATTTCGTTTATCTATGATTAATGAGTAGTTCAAAAAATTCTATTAAAAAGATTAAACAATATCTAACAGAATAAACATGAACTGTGTATTACGAAATTTACCCTAGAGAATATACTGAGTTAAGGGTACCCGAAAAAGTATCCTGCTACTAGTATGTCACAGTAACTTTTGGATACCAAAGTACTTATAGGTACTTTCAAGTACTTAAACGGTACTTTGGTAGGTACCCTGCTACCAAAATTTCAGTATGTTCAGGATCGAACCTGACCTTTCACTTTTTGCAATTTTTTTCTCTCAAAGCGATTCATTACATTTTTTTTCGATTTTATTATATTTAATTTTTTCAATTCCAAAAACTCAACAGGTCAAATATCGAGATCTGACCGAACTTGAGCTGGTCGAGTATCCATGAGACCACCTCAGGATAGTCCGCTCTTAATCTATGATCAAGATCGGATAGTTCTCGACTAAGAAATAGTGAAGAAATAATCTAGAAAAAATTCGTATGAAAACAGATTGATTTCTTCTGTTTTGCTCAGTTGTTTATGCGGAGTCGTGAGCGAAAAAGAAAACAGTGAATGAACAGTTGCTACGCAGAACGCGACAAATGTAGGGTACCGTGTAGAGCTTTCCCTCAGTAAAATTACAGATGCGGGTATCCATACCAGTACTTGCTCAGTGAGCGTACTTTTATGGGTACCTCTTGCAGTACCTACATCAGTATAATTACTAAGAACTTTCGAAGTACCCATATTAGGTATCCTGCTAAGGCTTTCTCAGTACACGGGTACCCTGAACTCAGTACTTTCTCTATGGTAAGCAGATTATCATGCTTCAATTAAAAATGTTTTGAACTAAAATAAAATCGAATTTCTAATTCTAATAAAAGTCAGAATTGTTATGAGATAATTACAATTAAAGAAAGAAAACGACATTTTTGTCAAGTTTGAAATATAAATTGCTATTCTTTCACTCACGAGAGTACTTCTCCAGTTGATAAAAAGTTTTTTAAAGACGAGATTTATGTCCTTGGACAAAATCTATAATGATTCCTGTTATTGCTCTTATCTTTTCGAGTTATAAAGTATATCATAAAAAAATTTAATATTTGTATTTCGATCTTCAATGAATCTTATCATACACTAAAAGTTTCAGCTAAAACAAACCTTTTCTTCCTGAGATATTACATGAGTGCATTTTCGAAAAGATTTAGAAAAATTCAATTTTCTTGTAAATATGTTGTCTTATAAAGAAAACATTCAGCGTATCGTAAAATTTCTTTGTAGACGAAATTTCAAGATGAAATGACAATATTGAATTACTTCAATAAAATCATCAGAATACTTCTCTATTAAATTTAATAAAATCTAATTTACCTATTAGAATTTCAATTTATCAAACAGAATGAATATCAATATGAAACAAAAAACTAAAATCTTACATTTTGTATTCGACGAATAACTGTTGCCAAAAAAAATCGAAAGACATATTTTGTTTCATAAACTACACTATCATCATGAGTAATTAATCTAAAATGTAATTATTTTTTTTCAATCTAATAAATAGATACATATTAATTTATTATAATTATTTACGATAACCATGGATATACATGATCTCTAAGACATAAACAACAAAACTAGATAGAAAAGAATATATTTAAAATTATTTAATAAGAAAAATGAAAATTTACTTCATCTATTGCTGCATCAATTCGTTTTGATAGCATTAAATGAATCCATGGATTTTTCTGTGTATAATGACTATTTGTACTATGTATATTCAAAAGAAAATAAATAGATTCGAAAAAAAATATATATAATAGAAAATTACATCTGTTTTTTTATCAGTTCTTTTTCTAAATCCTATAGAAATATAAATCATAAATAAAAAAAGAAAAATCAATCAATTATTTATTCAATACTTTTGTTGGTTCAAAAAATATGAGTAAATTTGGCCAATATTTTGGAGATTTATTTAATGATAATCTAAATGAAAAAAAATTTTCAATTAATAAAAAAAAAAAAATACAAATCATTGTTATACATACACATAATAATCAGTTAATTTATAACTTATTATAATCAGTAGAATAAAGATAATAAATTGAATTTTACTATATTAAATAAAATAATAGAAAAAAAAAAGTAAAAATTTTATTTCAATTTCAAGAAAAATATACCCAAAAACAAATAGAATTATCAATAGAAAAAGAATTACACATATACCAAAAAGAATTCGTTGACCAATATCAGTTAATAATATATTATTTTTATTCATCTAAAATATATTTAATTAAATCTGCATTTTTTAACTTTCTACTATATTTTCATTGATTTTTCTCTTTCAAACAAATATACCTCTTCTTTTGAAATCGTTTTATGTACAATACATTAACAACGATTAATAGCAATATTATATCAGGCTTCATAGACTCACATGTCTTATATTCAAAATTACTTTTTTATTTTTTTGCATTCATTAGAATGTAAATATTAATCTCGGATGGTATATTTCTTCGTTGTTAGTTACGTAAAAATATCCTGTTTACATGTTTGGTTTAGTGTAGTTACCGTCTGTATTACTAACGGTCATGTCATAGAAATTTTATGCTTATGTTCTTTCGTCATTCTCAAGGTGAACAAATATAATTGTGATTTTTTGTTTTCACTATATAATATTTCTCTACAAAAAAAAGAAAAACTAAGAAATAAGACTTTAAATGTATTATATTTCAATTTACTCTGTTATTTAATATACAAATTAAAAAAAAAAAAATATATATATATATTTACTTATTGCCATAGTCAAAGGAAAAAAAAAACAGAGACGATATATATTTATTATGTTGTAGATCGGAGAATGAATCAAAAAAAAAAAACAACAAAATTAAATCCATTGAAAGAAGAAAAAAACCAAGAACAGCGAGTTTAAAACAAAATCACAAATGCAAAAGTATGTTACATTGTTGTTCTATAAACATTCTTCTGGCTTTTTTTTTTTTTTTTTGATCTTAAGATATCGTTAAAAAAGAAAAATAATTATTTAATGAAAATATAATTAAAAACAAAAAACCAAAGATTTTTTCTAGATTAACAGGGAAAAAAAACACGAATCAAAAATAGTTTTCTTTTAGTATTATGCACATGTTTTTCTTTTTTTTTTTTTTTTACAGATAAGTATTATTTTTTTGATTATGCTTCGCTGGATCCTGTAAATTCAAACGAATTTGTTGTTCAGATACTGGCTCGTCAGGAATAGTTGCTGCACGTTTATGTAGAAAATTTTCAAATGCAGCTGTTGTTCCACTGTCGTGATGGATTGGTTCATCATTATCAGGATCCTATTAAAATAAAAGTATTTTTACAATATTTTGTTTTATCTTAATATTCTATCATACATCGCCTTGAATTTTTAACCATTGTTCAACTTCTCGTACATCACGTTCAGGATCCTAAAAAAAACAAAAAGAAAGAATATTTTGTAATGAAGAGAAAATGTACGAAAGTTAAAAAAAATAAAACAAACGAACAATGATCAATTCTATTTTTTATAAGTAAATTTCACGTTTTTATGCTAATATTAGGTTTTCAATAGCTACAGTTTAGAATATGTATGTAGTGTTGAGTCTACATAATCTGAAATTGAATTATCAACATAACGAGAAGTATTCAATAGAGGTCGCCAGGATAAAAATTTTTCTGGTTCGAACCATACAGCTTGTTCAACTAAGATAACATGAGCAGAAGATTTCTCGAACGAGAGACAACCGAATTTATTCATTCAAAAATTTTTTTATAGGTTTTCGTATATTTTCTACCGATAGATGTCATGATAATAATTAATGATAATCGTCAGTGAAAATGAAGTATTTTTTTTTTGTGTGGATTATCTTTTATTGTATTTCGAATATTACTTTATCATTTAAAAAAAAGAATAGAAATAACAGTAGCATCGTTGAAGTTTGACGTCAGTAGATCATTTGATATTGTTACGAAAGCTGAAAAAATGTGCTTTTTTTAGAGAATGTAAAAATATGTGTTACTGTACTGTTGTGATGATAACGCTTTTTAGGAACAAACTTCCAAAGAAAATATCTGACTATCATAAGATCTGTTATCTTAGTTACAAACGTAAATTAAAATATTTCCATTTGGAATAGAAAACTTATTTCGAGAAATGTCAGCTGTTTTGAATCACTCTTATATTAGGAATCCTTTTGAATGAGTGCGGGTTACCACGATTTTCTCTATCTTCCTACAGTCGCTGTAATTCGGCCAAATGAAATGAAAAGTTTAGTACAACTAGAATTTACATACAATTCAGGACAAAAGTTTAAGTGAAATTATTTTTTCACATTTCTTTTTTCAGTATATTTTTTTCATATAATGAGATGCGGGTCTGATTCAAATAGTGATATAGATGGTATGAGAGGCCAGCTATATGATGTATTATAGAATGAGATTCTGTCTACCTATATAGATATTTTATGATAAAAAAAAATTTTTTCTATGAAAAAACAGTATTAGGTGCCTTTCAGTATTTCGCATTCTCTAACCAAGAGATTTATACCAAAATAAAAGAAAATTATATCAATCGATAGAGCATTTCATGCTCTATCAGTTTATAAAAAAACACTTTTTCCTCGAGTCGATCTTCATCTCTCAAACTTGGTTTTAGTGAGAATAGTCAGCATTTTTCTCCTATCAAAATAATTAAGAAAGAGCAGCTAATTGTGTTTTGCAAAATTTTATTTCAATAAGGTGGGTGTGAAAAATCAGTGATATTCGAATTTCAAATATAACATTTTGTTCAGTTTTGAATGCTCTTTCCAATGGTGTATAAAACATTGTGATAATAGGGAATTTCACTTTTTCCGTTTTGCAGACTATTCTCCCTAAAACCAAGTTTGAGAGATGAAGATCGACTCCAGGAAGAAATCTTCTTTTATAAACTGATAGAGCATTTCATGCTCTATCGATTGATATCATTTTCTTTTATTTTAGTATAAATCTCTTGATTAGAGAATGCGAAATACTGAAAGGTACCTAATACTGTTTTTTCATAGGAAAAATTTTTTTTTATCATAAAATATTCATATAGGTAGACGAAATCTCGTTCTATAATACATCATACAGCTGGCCTCTCATACCATCTATACCACTATTTGAATCAGACCCATACCTCATAATATGAAAAAAAGAAATGTGAAAAACTAATTTCACTTAAACTTTTGTCCTGGACTGTAAGTTTCAGCATTTTGCCACTTTAATTTATTGAGTTATAACCATTTGAAAGTATAAAATTGATGGATGCGTTATGTAGACGCAAATGAACAATGAATACTCTGAAAAGATTTTTGTGTTCTTAACTTATTACTATGAAGATACTGCATTTTTAACAGACACCGTGATAACAGAAAAACTAATTTTCGAATTTCACGACTAGGAACTTTATACAGACGCATGTTTCAATAAGAATAGTTTTTATATGAATGTTTCAGATCGTGTTGTTATTCCTATTCTAAGATACAATTAGAGTAATAGCATATCTTTTACATCGCTAATATAAAATTACAAAAAAAAAAAATTTGCATTACTTTAACTATTAAAAATGATGAAATTG